CATGGTATTTTGGAGGGAAAATGACAAGCAGTGCTTTGTTTGGACATTTAGGGGTGTACTCACTTTTGTTGCCAGGGGTTTAGCTATTAATGGCTATATTTTGAGTTTTTTTGAAGGGAAAAATAAATTTACACTGCTATATAAGCTTTACACAGACTACTTTTCATTGTGTCAAAGCGATGTTTCTTCAGTGTTGTTCTATTAAACATTATAATGAAATCTCTGCAGAAATGTGAGGGGTGTACTCAATTTTGTGTCATACTGTACATACAAAATATGTCACGGGTAATCAACATCACGTGGGCAATGCTTGGAATAAGAACTAAATGCTAACTAACGTTAGCTAACTAACTTAGCGATTAGCATAGATGAGCCTTGTATGGCCAATGGATGCTCTTTCAGGGTCTGGTGTTTAGAAACTAGTTTTTCAGTAAACCACAGTGGAACTGAAAAAGGAAATAGAATAAAGTGAAAAGCCTGTTAAGTAGAACTCGGCTGACGCTCTGGGAATACGTCAAACATTAATTTATTTAATACTTTTTATGATTAACAAACAATTGTTGTTTGTTTTGAGATGAAAAGCAGTGAACAGCATGTGTGTAAACTTGTGTAGCAGCTTGTTAAAAACAGACAAAAGATTTTTTTTGTCTTTCCACATTTCTTTCTGTTCTGAAAATGTTGTCCAAACTGTGGCACGTACCGAACCCTGTTTATCCATACCGTTTCACCTCAGTCAGAACAGTCAGTCACATACATGTCAGTACAGGCCTACCACCTGTCTGCGTGTGTGAGACCTACCTGCTATAGGGTCCATAGCCTCTCTGCTGTAGTTGGAACCCTGTGAGGAGCTCTGACTGGAGGAGAGCCCCCCTGTGGTGCTACTGGTGAAGTGCATGTTAGACCTGCGGGCTCGTGGACCGCCCAGCCCACGGCCTGGGTGAAACATCCTCCTCACGTGCCGCACACCGCTGGACTCATCGTAGATGTTTCCATTAAGGACCAATATTCTGTATCAGTGACACTAACGCTACCGTTGATTTTTGATTATGTTTTAATTATTAATACCTTCCTGGTTCAGTTCTTTTTTTCCATTTCTTTGAACCTTATGCCGTTTTGTTGCAGGGCAGTAAAAGTAACTTGCAGGGTTTTTAAAAAGGATATCAAGTCTCTGGGCACTCTGTGTTCAAGCGTAAGATGAGCAGCGAAATCATCTGTCACATGGTTTGGGTCGCCTCCCGGCAGTGCTGCACATATAGGGCAGATCTGGAGAGCGGGGCAAATGTAGCGTTATCAACACACTTGACTGCACTTTTAACATTTGTTCAAGTGGAACCGGCTCTGATTGACACAGGATCGAATTTAGAGTAAACAGGAAGAAATAGAACCTTAGACGAGCAGCAGATCCATGAGGACCGGGTCACCACTCCAGCTGATGTGAACAGATTTTTTTCCCTGGATGTTAAAGTGTCTGTGTGTATGGGTGGGAGTGGGCAGTGACCAAAACCTGCCATGTTTCCAGGGTGCAGCACAATGTCACCCACTGCTCCTCCCTCATGAATAGGTAAAACGCAGTCAACTTTTCTTGAATATTTGCCATGACAAATGACGCTTCTTTGTCTGGGTTTTGCATGACATGACAGAGCAAACAGAACAAGGTACAGTGATAAAGATGGTGCTGTGAAAGACATGTCCTCAGTCCGTTCACTTTTCTTTTTAAAACCGTGAGAAACAGACTTTCATTTCATGTATCACCTGGTCCAGACCCACGTTTCCCTCCATTATTATTTAACCACCCTGTCATGATAAAGAGTCACGTTTGTCATTTAATGAATCAATGGCCCTGGTGTTGCCTACTCCGACAGGGCAGAGTTTAGGAAAGGTTTATTTCTGTTTTATAAGACGTTGTCGCAGTCAGTTTAAATTTAATATTTCTGGTGCGAGTATTCTCAGCACCGGGCTTGAATAACTGTGTTTTAATGTTCTCCCCATCGTATGAGCGAGCTGGAAACCCCTGATTTAAATGTTTCCACGATGCATGTAATCTTCAAAAGTTCCCTTTCCAAAAACCTGGAAAAAAGCCTTGAAATAAATCTGCTTTTAAAAAGGTCAGCTGTCGTGTTAAGCCTATTAGACAGTGTGTGTATTGCTCCAAGCAGTTCATTCAAATCAAAAGTAAGCTGTAAAGATCTATCACAGGTACAGCAGAATTGGCCTCATGGAAAGAACTTGGGATGGATGATTCGTACCTCAGGAGAACATCAGAGTTTCCCTGTTAACATGGGAATGAATGGATCACTAGTATTGGAGCTAAGATTCAACCATAGTTGATATAGTATATAAGGATTCCTGTGATATAAAATAAAATGTAGTTTTAATTATGAGTTCTTACCTTCGAGACAGACGATACAGTAGCGGCTAATGGTGGCATTTGCGGCGGAGGAGGAAGGGAGGGAAGAGAGTTGGCCCGTACGTAGACACTTGATTCCATACCGTACCTTACACATACGTAACTTACATAAAATTAGAATTAAAAAAGAACTTAAAAGAAGAACCCAAACACAATACGGAAGACTTGCGGGAGATGCGTATGGAAGTCGACAAACACGTGAACGAGTGAGGCGGCGTGGGCTGCTTTGAGTGCTCGGCCACCTAGCGTCGGTGTCTGTAACCGTGCTCCTATCTTAAATCTTTAGATTCAAGAATTTGCTCGAAGACTTGCTCGTATCTCGGAATACTTGTATGTCGGGATGCTCGTATCTCGAAGTATTACTGTGTGTGTGTGTGTGTGTGTGTGTGTGTGTGTGTGTGTGTGTATATATATATATATATACACACACACACACACACACA